TGCTGTATAGCGTCTTCGCTTTTGTAAACGGGGCAGATTCTACTCGACAAGGAGTGTTCAATGGTTTTGCAGCGGGGACAGAACGGGTTATCTGTGCACCTCACACCCTCAACGATCGAATGTTGCTTAGAGCAGTTGCCGCATGTTGGAACCTGTTGTTGACAGCGAGCCTTGGTATGTCCGAAAACAAAGCAATTGTAGCATATCATCGGGGCCGGATAATACGGCCGCGTCTTCACCCGTAGATACCCTATGTCTACATGCTCCGGCATCCTGGTACCTTCGATGGTTAGTATGACTGTCGCCGTGTTAACCTGTTCAGTACCGTTCCGGCGAGTAATCCGCCGGAAGCTCGTCACCTTCTGATCCTTCATGTAGTCCAGTACTTCTTCATCATCGACCTTCATCATCTGCCTGCAGTTAATTACGCAACGGACGCTGTTTAGGCCCGTGTGCTTAGTAACCTTTACTGCGGTACCGTCGTTTAATTGGGTCATGTTTAGAAGTCGATTGAGTTGCCACTTACTTCGGACTTTCAGGGCATAGGCTTGTCCTTGAGCTTCCGGAAACGCACCTTCAATTTTTCCGTTTATCCATTTCTCTACCGATGAACGCAGCATGAAAGGATGTTCCGGTAATTTACCGGTAACAGGCTGCAACTTCAAAACAACAATCTCATCGTGTTCATCATGGGGGTCCATGTAATTGGGTAACGTTGCTCCAGCATGAGATCCATCTATGTAGCTTGCTGATCCTCCCCCGGTGTCTCCAGGGAGGTGAGGAAAATCCCTATCCAGCTCCATGGCTGGAGGGGAGAGAAAAAACTATCCCTGTGACGATCACTCTTCGGTTGATTAGCACCGCACCACACAGGAAAGAATAACACGCAGTGCGACACTACGCACGGCGACGGTTATCGAATCACCACCTCAAATATCTTCGCCTTTCGATAGGCAGTCCGTAATTCACTTATGTCGATCGCAGACTTGAAAGCTTTTTCACCACGATCGTATGATCGTCAGCAGCGATGGCTGACACGAAGATAGCGTATCTGTGCTGTTGATGGCACTAATTAAATTATGGTTTTTCCACTGACCGCGTTGCCCTCAGGCCGAAATCCACTGTAGAACGCTTCCCAGGTTGACCGAGAAGCGGACTCGATGTGTTTCACAGCTAATCACTACGAAAAACACTCGCGACGGCGCGATAAATGGAATACGTAAGAGACAGCGTCTGGATGTGACGAATCCGAGCTGTCGAGTGATACTTTTTGATATTGTCCTTGTATTTAGAAGAGATATGGGGTTTTACGCCTATTTGCGCAAATATTTGCCAAATAGGCTTTTCCTCATCAATTTTCATTTAGACAACAAAATTTCGATGAAGAGAATAATAAATAAGTAAATAAATAAACAAATAAATAAATAAATAAAAGAAAAAAATTAAAAAATATGTAAATAATTTTATAAATAAAATAAATCAACAAATAAAAATAAAATAAATAAATAAAACAATAAATAAATATAAATATAAAAACAAATAAATAAATAAACAACAAATAAAAAATAAATAATATAAAAAATAGATATATATAAAAATAAATAACTAAATCAATCAATCAATAAATGGAAAAAAAAAAATTAAAAACACAAATAAATAAATAAATAAATTATTTAAAAAAAAATAAAAAATAAACATAAAAATAATAATAAAGAAACGATGAAATAAATATATAAATAAACAAATAAACAAATAAATATATAAATAAATAAATAAATAAATCAATCAATAAATAAATAAATAAATAAATAAATAAATAAATAAATAAATAAATAAGTAAGAAAATAAGTAAATAAATGAATAACAGACACAGAAATCCTGCAAATTTGGCTTTGACTGAGTCACAATGAGCGATTTTCTGATCATCTTTTCGCGAAGAGTGGATGAGGTAAATGTCAAAAACTCTTATTGCAACTCTCATTTACTAAAATTGACAGATATTATGTGTCAAACACAAACTTCACAATCTTTTCTTGTTGCTTACACAACCAAAATATAATCATAATAACATCATATTATTCCATTTTTAGTTAAAATGAATGGAAGGCACCCGGAGCTATGTAGGTGAAATTCACCATAATCTCCATATAAATTTCAAACCATTTGCGCGATCTCTTCAAAACTATTGACTTTTTACCTTTTTTTAGCACATACATATTTTGAGGTTATGAATCAAATTGTAGGGCGGTGAATCGAAGTGTGCCATGACCGCTATTATTGTTTCCGGTCGCTGGAGTGGTCAGATCTAATTTCAGCGTTGGTCACGAGTTGATTCGGCCGATGAGGGGCTGTCTGGCGCTTTCAGACTGTGTACTGGTGAACTGAAGCCGTTGTATCGCGAGAATGGTTGTTAATGACGTAAAAGTCTTCAATGCAAATTCCCTTTGAAAACGTTAACGATTAACAACCCTGCTCGCGAGTGATTGGTGATGGAAAATGGTCGCAGTTCTTAATTTCCCAGCTGAAATCCCTTTAGTCGGAGCAGCTGGAGTGTGTTGGAAAGGTGGGAGTGCTGTTTTAACAACGGTTGAAGAAGTAGCTGTAGCATTTCTATGCTACCTTTCATTCCAATATTATATGAACCATTAAATGCTGGGTACGGGAAGGTCCACCCGAATGAAGCAAAATAGATGGAGAGAGTGGAAATTCCAACTCCCTGTCTTTAAAATTTCGTGAATAGAGGGCAGGCTCTTCTCCCCACTCATTGAGGCATCCTCCTGTTGGGTGGCCTGTTTTGTACGGGTTATATGATCCGGTTGGAAGGAGATTTTCATTTATCCCGTGGATGCACGTCCCTAATAACGAAATACCATAAACGAACGGTAACCCGGATGGTAGAACTAGCTCACAAATGGGTTGGATGATACCCCGAACGCGTCGTCAAGTCGAACAGCGAGAATAGTCCACAGTCTACTAATAGTTGTCTTGCTACAGTGAGTGGAAGTTCCATATAATCATATCATGAATCGAATTGGAGGGTGGCATATAAGATTGATGATATTTTTTTCAAAGTAAAGCGCCCTATTGTTGACAGTAGTATTTTGTCTGCAGCTCGATTATTTGTTGATATATGAACAAATACGCAATTTATGGGTACATTTTGTACCCAGATAAGATACATGCACACTTCGAAATAACCAATTTTACACGTGACGGAATCCGCCTTTGACATATAAGATGAGACGTAAACAAACATGTCATGTAATATTAAGTGCTCCGAGACTGAAAAGTTCGTTGCTCGACGAAAAGTACGTTTGAATGAGCTATATTTCACGTCTGTTATGACTCAAATTTATGTCAAAATTGACGCTCGTATATGTCACTCTCAGAGCACCTAAATTTACATGATTTTTTCTAAGTGTGTGTACCCTATACGGATCTTTGCAATATCGTAGGCGAGCCAGCCCCAAGTTGAAAGAAAACCTAACCTAACCCATCTTTGCAATATGGAATGTCTCCAGAAGAAAGTATATCATGTCATCCGATCCCCCGAGGGCCCCATCATATCTGGATCTTGAGACTAATCGTACAAGATGTATTATTCCCTTCCAATATACATAAAATCCAACTTTTTAATCGGTTCTTTATTTTAATAAGACATGTGGCCACCGTCCAGCCTCAATCTTAATCCATTGGATTATTCTGTGTTACGGGAAAAAAGCTGACCTCAGATGAACTTTAACCCGAATTCTGGAGGGATACATATTCTGACTATAATATCAGAACTTGTCTAGCGTTCCGATGGGTGTAAAGGTCCGACTGAAAATTGGGATTCATCTGATGGAAATGGAAATTCAACTGAGCTTCCAGTACAAACAAGTATATTCGTTGTGAATAAGAGTTTTTTTTTCTCAATTCGACAATTTAAAGAAAAATTGTTTAATGGAACAATATAACGCATACTACACTAAATACAGTGGATGTACTATGTTATAAAAGACAAGTACAAAATCGTGATACTACTCATAACGTAAGTTCATAGCATCACAATACGTGGGGAATCCCATCTATGAAAGCGCTAGGAACTGATAAGCTGTCTTTGTCGATTTGCAGGCTAAACATTTTCAAGCTTATGCAAGCTACCTTACGGACATGACATGTTAACTGGCATTTTTCTCAGGTGAATATCTTCTTCCTTTTTTAATGATAAATACGTTCTTATTGAAATCTTATATCTGCCTAGAAATTGAAGTTCTAATGCTACTTACACAGTTGTTGGCAACGGATAAAATAAGACATCATCAATGTTTTTAACCATGCGTTTCTGTTTTATCAAAAGCTCTTCTATTTATATAGCTTTTAAAAAATCAATACATGAACTCACCTTTCTTCTACCTGGTTTGACACTCTTATAGCCGGCGCACAATGGATAAGTTTTCAGGTTTTTTGACAGTTAACACCTGTATTATCTGTAAAAAAAAACCCGGAAACTTATACATTGTGCGCCAGCCTTTACACTTGATTGCCTGTCAACTTAGTTCTATGAAGCACTTCACAGTTTTTAGCGCTTTCAATGCCAACCAATGTATGAATTTGTATTTTGTGTGTCAAACACAATAACAACTTTATGCCCAGGGAAGTCGAGAAAATTTTCAAGTATTTTCTAGAGTGGACCGGGATTTTAATACGCCACCTCCGGCTTGGTAATACTTATCTGTCTAGGTTATCTGAGGCTACTTTATCACAAAGTCTACGAATAATTGCAATTATGCTGTGGATTTGATGAAAGCATTACAGAAGCTTAGGTTGGTAACGCCTATCACTTGTGACTTAACATTAACTAAATTTAAATGATGTCAACACCTTCTGTTTGTGTTGTATATATTTCCATCGGGAATCCCCTACACCGCATCTCGCGAAAGCATTTCTGAACCTGAACACAAGATAAGGAAACGGATCGTTCTCATCCACTCAACTCGCGATCAGTCTGTTCCGGACAATCAACGAGGCGCAATGTACTCACAATACATTACAATAGTTTTAATCTTGGCTGTCGGTTTCACTTCCAGTGCTACGATCACCCGTGTAAAGCGTCAACAGTTCACACCACTAGAATCATGCACCGTTTCCCATCAAGAAATAGAAGAGTTGATCCGCCTCACCAAAAATCTAAACGCTGCCATTGAAAGTGTCCAAGTGGATATCCGTTCCGGTTTTGACGAAGAAGCTGCCAATCGTGATCAGTGCTCCAGGCAGCTAGGACAGTTTCGAGGTACAGTGAAGAACGTCATTCAGGGCTACAAAACCATCGATCGAAACACAATGAGCCAAGCGCAGTACGATCGAGCGAAGGCACGCTATCAGGGTGATATTCAGCGTCTGCTGCGAAAGATAGATAATTTAAAACGCGATGTGGAGGACAGCTATCGCGGGGAAGTGGACAAATTGCGCAGCAATATGCAGGAATTCAAGTCCCAGTTGGATGATAATCTGAGCCTGTTGGAACAAGAACGTGCCAGGAGCAGATCAGCATTTGTACGATTGTGTATTGCAAACGTCCGGGCCAGAAGAATCAAGGACGCTGTAGAGGATTTCCAAACTTTGAGTGACCGTCCGTACGAACCAATAGTGACGGATGTCTATGAAAATGAACCGCAAAATGCTGATTTAGTGATGGACTTTTTAGAGGCCATCGATTTATACTATGAGCCCATAAGCGGGTACCAAGTCCTGTATCAACATATGAACCGAAATAACCAGCTTGGTGGACCCAGTGGGCGAAGACTATTGCTGCATTTGATGGCCCTATCAACGGCGGACGACGAGAACTCCCGACGAGCTCAAAAATTGTTGAGCGAATTCAAATCGGATGTGCACTGAACATGAATTAAAACACGTTTACCAATAGTTTATACATTTAATTCAACAAAATTACGAACTATCCATAAGTTTGATCTAAATCTTCCGCTATCTTTTTATTTTCGATATACTCGTCATCACACGACTTGAGCCAAAACTCGTAACTGGATTCGGCTCCCTTTTCAATTGTGCCCCTTCTATCCAAACAAATAATCGCCAAATTATCGTCAAACGAGGCTTGAATGTTCTGCAAAAATTCTCTTGATGCCAAATTTTGAATTCGATACGATCTATTGGTTGAGTTATAATAGAACAAAAACCGGGCTGCATTACCCTCGGTTTCTCTGGCGTCATTCTTCAAAAACACATTTCGACATACATCGGTCACACTGTCTTCATCCGAGCTAGCATACATGAATGAGGTCGTTCGCACATTCATGATATTGATTCCCTGGAACTGGGGATCCCCCGTCGTAGCCTCCCACATAGCTGCGTCCGGCATGTATCGACCAAACGATTCATAGCGGAAAATCCGTCGCTTCTTGAGATCGTTGTTCCAAAATTTAGCCGAATCAACTACATAGCGTTGCTTGTTGGTTGTGATCGTGAAGCAGGTCGGTGATGGTAAATCTTCCAAACGGACGATGGTACCTTCCACGTGCACTTTTCCGAACAATTGAATCGCTGCTAGAAACAGAACGTAGAACATTTTTTGTCCGATTCAACTTGAGTACTAAAATAGGCGGTAGACTTTTGCAATCGCACGTACAACATCTTTTATAGCGGTGAATTTAACGTGTGCACCATGAAGAAATCGTAAGAAATCAATTGCTGATGCTGTTTAGACATGGTAGGTGCTACACTCAAAAAATCGACGGGATGCGAAAATTGATCGTTCGTCAAATCATCATATGATGCATAATTTTCATGATCCATTGATAGAAGATGGCGTACGGTCTGAGAACATGTTTTGGTAAGTTATCGTGTTGTTATGCGAAATAACTGGGGTAATCTCGAATAAGTATCTTCTCTTCTAATGCTTATTCCCCATGCTTATAAGTTCCCACTGGAGCTTTACGCCGACTATCAACGAAGTGGTTCTTTTTCAAGTTATCGATGTTTTAAAGCATTCTTCAAGTCTAAATCATGGTCTACAGAACCGTTATAAACCCAATTTTGTCACTCAAAGTGTGCTAACCTTTCGCTTTTTGTAATTGTAAAGCAGCGGAGAAGAAAAGAAAAGACACACACCCTGGAATAACGAAAACGCAAAGTCTAACCACCGTATTACATTTGTTCCCTGTGTGAATTTCACCACCACTCCTTGTGTGGATTGCTTCCTCAAAGATAAGTTGGAAAAGAATGCGAAGCAAATGGGAAAACCACACTCTCTTTTCCAAGAGCGATGTAGGGGAATTTACGTATTCTCGTCAATCTAAGCAGCGTCCGCACTTCTATTAGCATTTTCTCAGCGTCACGCACATATATGACGTGTTTGTTGATTTACATTCATCTGCTGCTTGCTTCTCTATCCATTCCAATCGATAGAATTTTTCAAAACGGTTTTAAAGCGTTTTTACAACGCTCCAAACTTCTCAGGTGAGTGTGACTATTGTCGGCAGACTCTTTTTCTTCGGCAACCTTCCCATTAGAACTGCGTGTTAACCAGCTGTTCTATTATCGGCAACTCGAAATCAACCCCATTTTGTAGTGCGTATGCTTCATTTGAAGAAAAATCCGTCATTACAGGATTGCTCGGTCATACAAATATAATCAGATTGAAGCTGAAAGACTAAAGAATCGTTTGAATACATTCAGGGAAGTGTGTTGATGGGAAAACATAGTGAAATTAACGTTTAAATTTTGGTTGCCGAAAACAGTCAATGGGTGCCGAAGCCAACATTTACCCTATGTAAAAAGTTTATCTGCAAACACTCTGATGCGATTTCCACCACTGAAACCCACCATGAGCATTTTTCATGCTTCTTTAAAATAAAGCAACTGGTTTAAGGTGTTTCGCTGTGAGCTCCTTATTATTCGAAACTCTAAGTGCACAAATATCAACTTCCTCGAAACGTAGCACATTGAAACTGTTACTTCACGGTTGCTTTACTGCAGTATACATGAAGTAGCAATTTCAGGTGAAATAGGGCATTAATTACCGAGATTTGTGTAATTGAAAATTCGAAGTGGAAGTGCATGTATAGCCTACGTGGCGGCCATTTGAGGACTCTACAAGGAATCACCTTAAGGATCCCATTAATTTGATCTCGAAAAATCAGTATTAATTGAATAAGCAAGAATACGGTGCAATTCTAACTTCCATTTCCTCACTATGCAGTCATTTTTCTACCTCGATTTTTGATAAACAGAACAGAACAGAAAAATGTTCAAGTTGTCGAACTTAGACACACGTTGACAATTTTTAAACAATAAATTTAAAAGAACTAGGAGAACACAACGTTTTAAAAGCATAGTCAATAAAAAAAAACTACTAGGGACAGCCCTATGGGGTTGTACGTAATGCTGACGTAAGACTACGTGGTCTTACATAATACACAAGGAATCAAAAATATCTTCAAACGACAAAATGACAAGTGATCAACGAACTGAATGATAACACTTTGTCAGAAGTGGAAAGCAATAATGATATAATCTTCTTCCTTCTTTTTCATGACAAGCAGCCCGTGCGACACAGTTCACTCGGGGCGTCACGAAGTAAAGCCGAAAATGATACACGTGTGTACACAAAAATTCCCATTAATTTTGTGTTATGTCTTTTCTCGATTCAGATCAAGCTATGTCCTCATCCGTGTATATTGCCACAAAGCAGGCAAGCAATATATCATTATCCTTCTACCACTCCGATCGAGCTATGTTACAGAGCGAGTTTGTCATGGTAGTCGTAGCAACAGTTTTGTCTGTATCGTTGGTTACTTTATGTGTTTGGATTCGCTGATAATACGTGTTATTTGTTAACTGCAGCAGGAGCTTGTGTTTTGTGTAGGAATAGGAATTTGAGCGGAGTTTATACTATTTAGTATGACTATGATTGCCCTGAAAAGAACCTTTTGATATGAATTTTAGTTGGGACATGTTCAGAAAATTAACTCTTTTGGAAAATCTTGGTGGTAAAAGGCCGATGGTAGTACAGACTTAAAGCCTTTGGAAGATGATGACGTGTAGGCAGCTGGATCAGCAAATCGGATCGCACAATCCAATATTCTTCGGTTCAATGATTGGACACTCGCAAGAGTCTCGGCCCGTCTGCTGCTGGACAGGGGTTAAACTGGTGTCTGCGACAGTTTGGAAGGCCGCAGAATATCAATATCCATCCAGCTAAAACTCCCCTTTTTAGTTTTTCTCGTTAAACTCCTTCTCTCAACAAGTTGGTAAATCTTAGCCTTTAGCAGAAAGACGCTTAACACTTTTTTCGGCGAATTAATGATCCTGTTTCACGTCATGGTTCTTCTCTATGCCTGTTCAGATAAATTCGTACTTTATTTTCTCTACTGCGCTAAATTAAACGTGTAGAAATAAGAAGGGATGTCAGCTACGCGCTCGAATATTTGCAAATTCGAAAAAAATTTAAACGAATAGCTGGAAAAATCTTTACGATTAATCGTTAAATAGTGTAGTGAAAATAGTGTAATTTGATATTTTTTGGTGGTCCTTCGAAAATGTCGAACAACAGAGTTGCAACCAGTAAGTGTAAGCCAAGAACCAAAAGTGGTGCGGTGCTAGTTTTCATTGCTATGATGTCAGTGCTTAGAAGCAGAGGGGTGAAAGTCAATACGCGATGAACGATTTTCTCTTTGCATTGCTACAGCTAAGCGAAACAATTTTCTAGAATTTGTTCAATGCAGAGTTGTAAAAGGTTGTATTGGCTATCAAAAGCAACAGCAAACGCACCGAAAAATGTTAAATCTAGCGAGTTATTAACAAAAGAGAAAATCAACGAAGAGAATCGATCATCGCGTTTACGCCCTTATGCATGTTTGTCAAGTTCTCTTCATCGATTTCCTCTTTTGATGACCATGGCTTCACTAACCTATTTCGCACTATTTCCGCTATGCTCTTCTATCATCCAGAACAACAAACGTTATTAACGAAACAGAAAGTCGATGAAGATAATCGATTAAAATCACTTGCACCCCTGCTTCCAAGTTTTTTTACAAGATTACAACTCCAAAAAGCATTTTGTGTGACGCAATTGCGTCCTCCCTATTCGCCCACGCCCGTAGATCGGAGGCGAATGCCACACATATGCATGTACGTAATTGATAGATTTGTTAGTTATTTCGACGCTTTTGGACAATTCTTGACATTTACCACTTTTTCAAAAGTTTCTTTTTGAAAATCAACAGTCACAATATTTTTGATCGATTGGTGATTAAATTATTTAAATTGGTCCAGGGGCAGATGAGTTATTAACGTTCAAAATCTTTCATAATTTCGTTACATGTTCCATTTTCGGTTTTCACAAAGTGTGCCCCCATACAGAAATCACAGACGTAGTCCTACGTCAAAATCTAATTATTCTGGAACGAGGAAAATTTTCCAAGAACACGGGCATAGAAACTATTACATGCGTCTAGAACATAAAATCACGATCTTGAAAAGAAATTTTTGGATTTCGGAATAAATTTATAGATTTTGTGCCATTCGTGTTTTAATACTGGGACTTAAAAATGCGCGATATCAAAGATAACCAATTTAAGAAAAAAAAAATCCGATATTTTGAATACTAAGTTTACAGCCCTAGAAAAATTCAAATGCTTCTGAAACATAGAAAACATTTTATGATATTGGACATAGTTTTTTTTTAAATCTGGGCATGGAAATTTTTTGATTCCGCATTTGGAAAAAATATACTACACTTTAATAGATTTAGAAAAGAACTCAAGATTTTGCGAAATGATTTTTTTTTATGTTGGAACAAATTTTAAAGCAACCGCGCTTCAAACTTCCCCCGATATAATATTTCAAAACAAACCGAATTAGGAATGAAGGCACCCAAACTAACTTTTGGCGAATAAAAACCCGAGGTACATGAATGTTGAATAGTCCACCACTCCGAACATGACGTGTGGTATAACGTTCTTAAACCAGTCAAATGTATACTTTTTTAATATTTAGAATGGTAATGTTGAAACTCCAGACTACCCAAAATATGTTGACGCTTAACAGCTACATGCTTGAAAGAAAGCATACTCTGCAGCGTCAAATCCAAAATCAAATCAAGATCAAAAGAAAATCAAGTAAACCGCGTTGTCGAAAAAAACCGTGCACCTAAGAGCGTGACCCAGGGTGTCCATCCAACCGGGAAAACAGGGAAATCCGGGAAAAACCGGGAATTCGGATTTACCGGGAAAAATGCGGGAAAACCCAAATTGGACCGGGAAAGATCATATATACTCATCTCAAGTAACAATTTTCATTTTAGGCCATAATTTGGTCTTGAAGAATCTTTTAAACCTTTAAACTTGTAATGTTACTTGGAATCAATCAACTTTGTATCACATACATAATTATATTCTCTTGCTTACAACTTTCATATTATTCGTTTCTCTCACTCGCAATCTGTTCGCGCCCGGATCAAGCGGTGATTTTGTCGTTGTTCCTACTAAGATAGCTAAGTTTATAGAATTTCATGTGGTGTCATTGGAATGCATATGGTGTCATTGCTTGAATTCTTTTGCTACAGTGTTCCGAGTGAAATAGTTCTAGTATAAAGGCTGAGCGAGACATATGTTACGAAGCTACTTCAAGATAGAGAAGCAGATTCATGCCGTCTCAAACTCCTTGCAAACTCCGATGATGCTTGGCATGCAAATGTTCGATACCGGACATAGAGATAAATTAAACATTAATTTCTGCACTTTGTGCTAACCAGATACCAATATTAGGACATCTTTGAATACCGAGGTTAGTCTGTAAAACATAAAGACCTGAATCCATACCTCTCACTCAAAAATCATAAGTTCAAATCTAATCCGGATAATGCACGAATGATCCGAGAGTGTGAAAATCACCATAAATAAAAAATACTTTCCTTGAAATTTTGCTAAGAATTCTCAAATCATCCTGTTGGAATCCTGTAAAGATTCTTTTAAGATTATTTCAATGGAATTTCCTTGCATTTCTCTTCTCAATTCCAATTCACAATTGAGAATAACATATTTTGACCTTACATACTGTCTAAAGAATACAACAGTCAACAGTTAAGCGAAATAATAAAATATGCCTCAAGCAAGTATTTGGGATAAAACTTATGATGATACTTGGGGTATTTTACCATATTTAACTGTTTCAATTAAACTGGGAAAACTAGGTTAGACAACTGGAAAAAAAAACCGAAAAAACGGGTTTTGAATTTTTTTTTCCATTGTCTATGATCTCCAGATATCACAAATTTTCTGAAGTTTCGAAAAAATAAACTCTGGTTCCGATATCTCTTCGTGTGTGTGTGTGTGTGTGTCATCCTCTATCCCTCACCCAGCCGGGGGCGTTGGACAAGTAGAACTGCGAATAATTTGATCAAATCTCATGCTCCGTAATGGTGCCCTTTATGTTGTGAAGACTAGTACTTCAAAAAGGGTAACTTTTGAGGCAAGACAGGGTGTCCTCAACCAGTTAAGGGAACAGGATGCACTAGATGTTCACAACAGATACAGCAAAACATCACATAGACGCCCTTATTCACACTAACTACTCAGGGGGTAGAAGGTCAAGAAGAGCCACCGCCGCCAACTAAAGCTTGAACCGGGTACCTGGGACTCCCACGATATACCCGCGGCAATGGTCAGCAGACGATGCCCTGTGCGTATTTAGTATGTAATATGTTTTATTTGGATACACAAAATGTTTGAAGCCATGCGTCATCTAAACCATAATTTTCATCACCACAAATACACTTGTCAACAATCTTCAACTGGAACGTACTCACCAAATCACTTCACCCGGGAGCGCATTCCCTATTCCACGCACACAACAACCAAATATCACTTCTCTTCACTTTTATTTTTCAAGTCACTCCGTGCACAAAAGAATGCACATCGCAAAACCCTAACAATAGATCAGCGCCGTTCTCATCACCGCGCAAATAAACAGAAATTAAAATTTTCACTCGCGATGCCACAAATTTATGTTCCGGGAGAAACAATCAAACCACGCAGCGCCAAATCTTCTGATGCTTGCAAGTTTGCAAACATGATGAATCATGTTTTCTTTCTCAATTCTAAAACTTCTCAGAAAGCGAGAAAACCACCACTCACACACGGATAACTGTCCGGGAGGCAGAGTGCCAGCGCTAATCCGGCAAATGCAGCCGAAAACTATGAAAGCGAATGCACGCACAAAACAGAGAACGAACTTAACACACAACCGTATCCAAAGGCGTTCGAAACTCGACTCACTCTGGTTCCGATATCTCTTCGTCATCTTGAAAGTTTTCCAAGCCTAATATGTTCAAGAACGGTCTATGAAACTTTGCAAGCGCTTGGGTTTTTTTTTCAAAGACCTGAATTTCGATAAATCTTTGAAGGCCGGAAGCTTTAGTATCGGCAAACATCGAAAAATCATGTAGTTCTTTTCCAATCCCATCAAATTGTATTTTCTACAAGTTCGGAATCAACAAATTTCCAATCCCAGATTTTAGATAAATTTTATGTTTAAAATCATGAAATCTTTTCTATATTTTAGAAACATTAATTTTTTTCGGACTGTGAACTTAAATTCTAAAATATCGTAAATTATTCTAGGCTTTCTTAATTTGTTTGAATTAAAGATGGCGAATTACTAAGTACCAGCATTAAACAAAAAAATGTAAGTGTCTCTAAAATGTATACCAGAATCTTACAACTTTTTTGAAGATCGAGATTTTTCGAGAAAATTTTCGTCGTTCCAGAATAATGGTATTTATTGATACGATCCAGAACACTTTTCTAGCTTCCATAGATATGAAAATTTGTCTATGTTTGAAGTTTTACAGAAGTTTCTATATTCGAGATCTTTAAAATTGCTTGTCTTAAAATTGACAAATTTGTCCAAGACGTTAAACATTTTTTTCTGCGTCTCATTTTTTTCAATTTCAAGATTTCCTAATAAATTTCTATGTTCAATCCTTCACATCCCGAAATTCAACCAATTCGCATCTGGCTCTAAATTTTCAACAGTTGTTTTCCAAAAAATCGTTACAGACAAAAGAGTACTGTGTGAGGAAATGGAGGTTACAAATTAACCTACTGATTATCCAATCTGAATCGCCAAAGTCACGAGTTCAAATCTCACCCGGACAAGTCACGAATGACCCAAGAGTGTTAAAGTGACTATAATAATAATAAACAAAAATAATACTGATTTTACGAAAACAAATTTATAAGATGCTTCAACCATTTGTTTTATTAAAAAAAAAAGCTTGTAAAATGCTCATGGTGGTTTGAGAATATATAATATTTGTCAAAGCGGAACGCATTCAACGACAGATTAGATCCATATCTTTAATATCTTTCCGATCAATAAATGTCACTATTGGTCACTTTTTTATTGTTTTAAAGTCACTATTTGGTCACGTTTTTTCCCTATTGTAGTCAATACTATTGTATAAAATACCCACAACCAGCCCTGGATATTGTAGAGGAATTCTGCTGACAAAATTTTATCATTATCTCTATAGGGTTATTTTTGAACGCCTTTTTTATTTAAGGTAGAGTTTTTTTTTTCAAACCGGGAATTGACCAATGGAATTTGAATGGACACCCTGTGACCTACTTAATGGATTTCAAAATGTCCCTGCTAGATATTTATTATGGAGCGGTCCATAAAGAAAATACACAGTTAAGGGGGGAGGGGGTGACGAGTTTCCACGATCTATACAGTTCTTATACATTTATATGAGTGATTGTCCATGGAGGTGGAGAGGGGGGTCCCTAATCTCAAAAACTGTCCACGTGGTATGTAGTGCTTCATAAAAAAAACCTAAAAAGTGATTTAAAACAAACGTTTCCCCTTGAAACCTTTCGACCCATACATTAAAGTCTGATAAACATATTTAAAACCGCCACATACTTGCCCTAGAAATTTGCCAGACTCTCTTCTTCTTAGTCATATCATACTTCAAATTCTCGAAACCCTGCAGATTTGTCCGTGTAGTTGAAATAGATTTATTTTTAAATTCCTCAGAACCAGTGCTGCGTGCTTTCAACAATGTCAATTAATCACTTCATTCGAGCAGTTAAAATGACGTTTACTACCACTCGAACTTCTAGAACCAGGAGAAAAGTAACCATCATTTGTGCGTTTCATAAAAAAATAGAAATTAGTTGATTCAGTTTTGTGGAATCGCTGGTAGAAAATCACGCCAAAACTGCTTGAAAAAGTGGTCAATTGACGTAAGATATTGGTCTAGCACTGAATTTCACTTCCGACACTGATATTCGTAGTAAGGGGGATATCAGGCGATAATGCTATTAACATTGATATCCATATGAATATCATTAGGGAAAAGTTGAAAATCTTACTATTATCCTAATAAATCAACTTTTTTGCATAGCCGTTGCATTGTTTAAGAAAGAGTTTTCTAAAGATCGGTACTTGATTAGCCGGCGTATATAAGAAAAAAAATCAGGCAGAACATCAGTGGTCCCTTTACGATGTCAATGTCATTTGCGCACTGACATTGAGAAGAATGATATTGATATTCTAACTGTGTGAACTGATACTGACATCAGGTGGCTAGTGAAATTCAACATTTCATTGATATTCATTGACATTGATATTTTGCAGCACACAATCATAATCCAAACGCTCTGATCAATTTATAACTAGTTCGCTCAGCATAATATTATCGCATGCATTTCCTCGGGTTGTATGAATATTCAACGTGGACAGAAGAGTTTAGTATGTAGTTGGATTTTTACAAAGAAAAAAAAGAAATCGTTTTGAGCATGGAATTTAAACGATACCATTTTATTGTAATTCAACAAAAACTACTAAGAGATCATTTCTAGGAATTCTCAAGTCTATGCGTTCTGGTATGTTTCTTATAGGCATCCTTTCTGCTAAACGGCCGGTAACAAATTTCGCACACAAACGTCAGTCCTTCGTGTTTGGCGCGATTGTGCCGTCGTAAATCCCGCTCGTAGATATAGGATGCTGTGCACTGGGTACATTTGAAGGGTTTCTCGCCCAAATGATCTTTCACGTGGAAATCTAACAGATCCTTACGAGTGAATGCAATCGAGCAAATGTGGCACTTGAAGGGTCGAAGCTCACTTTTGTTGTGTATCAGTTGGTGTTCCTGCAGTATATGCTTTTTCCTGAACCCTTTACCACAAAACGTACACTTGAACTGGTCACTCGGCACGGAATGGTAACGGACGTGGGTTAAGAAGTTTGGTTTCAGTGAGAATCTCATTTGACAGATGGGACATTCATACGGACGTATGTTGACATGGCTTTGCTCGTGATCAATGAAAGCCTGTTTCTCCTTAAAAGTCTTTCCACAATGGGAACATTGGAATCGATGTTTCCGAAATGGCCGCCGTTGATGTTCAATCAATACTTTCTGGGTTTTGTACCTACGGCAACAGATTTCACACTCAAACTGATTGTTTGATTCCATATTATCACCTTGTGAGGGATGGTTCTTTTCCACATGATCCTTCACCAGATCAAGGGAATCAAATTGCTCCCGACAGATGCAACATTTGTGAACCCTTTGTCGCATCTCATCGATCTGTTGATTTATTTTCAGTCTCTTGTGGACTGTTTTCTCGTGTACACGAAGACTATGAGCATTCGCGAAATCAGCTGGACATCGCCTACATGAATGTAGCTCATCAACGTACATCTTTCGTTGATGCTGACGGTAATCCTTTTTGAGTTGAAATCTTTGGAAGCATACCAGGCACTCGAATGGTTTATTTTCATTGATCTGCCGATCGGTGATTTTGTTTCGCCGATGAAATGCTTCAGAATGACTTTGCACCTGTTCATTGGTACTCAAAGGTTCTTTACAACCACAACAACGTACAGGCTGCGATTCAAGGTCAAAAACAAATCTTTTTGTGTCAAATTTTTCTTCGTCTTCCGAAGTAGCTGCGTTATAGTTGAAACTTGTACAATCAACATCTGCTTCTTGTACAGATGTTCTTCTACGTTTGCTGTGTTCTTCGGTTTCCAACTCCAAACAGTTTTGCACAGAAGAATCGTCAGCTTCTCCAGACTTAACGCTATTATCTTCAATGCTTATGGACCAATTCAACGGATCTCTGCAAAATGAACAAATCTAAGAATTTCTCCACTTCACTGATGTTAAATTAAAAACTCACCGTGTTTCATCCGCTGCCAGAATACTCCTTATTTTAAGACTGGCTTCTTCAACTTTTTTAATGAAACGGTATGCCACAGTAAGCTCCCCTTTGCAAACATCACAAAGGTTTAACACTAAACATACATCAAAGGATATCTGAATAGGAAAAACAAAAATGGAACATCAAGCAAGACGCATATGAAGTGCAGTTTACCTGTAGTTTGACAAAAATGTACTGCAGTATATCTTCCAGACTCAGTCTATCAACAGTGCCATCCGATGCGTAGTAATTTTCTTCACAAGCTTGAGCACAAATAACGCATATTTTGTATTCAGTGGCCGGTGAGATCGATATTTCCATTTTTAATCCGTCGTCCATGGTTTAAAGCTACGAAAACAAAATAACACACAGTGCCAGCCCAGGCTTATGTCAGCGTTAGAGGCAATGAACACAACAACAAGAGCATATGTTTGGTTGAATACGATAGGGATGCCACGATTCATCGTTTTTTTCCTGGCGACAAAACGGGTGGGCATTTCGAGGTCCAGTTAAATATTGACTTCTCATTTGTTTTTCTTTGTGGTCATACAAAGGAGATTAAGGGTCATACATAAAATGTAAGGGTAGATTTCTTATATCCTCTGGGTTCATACAACAAATGTAATGTCAGCTCTTACAAAGGAGTGTAGCGTACAAGTAAGTTTACGTTATAACCATAATACTTAAAGTATTTAATATTTCAACACTATAAAATGACCATACATACATAAACCGAGCGCTAACCTCATCACAACGACAATACGATTTAAAAAATCCAAACTTGGTCAACCCCTACCCACTTTATAATACTGGATTCACATCAATTAAAACCAGGGTTGCTTCTACTCACTTGCTATAAAACAAAATGTTTTTCGGAATTAGCAAATCGTTAGATGTTATTATGATATGTTGTACTTGTAAGAAGAGGTTGCAAAGTATGTGTTTGGCACATAAAACCTGTCAATTTCGCTTTCAGGGTGTCACAATCAGTGATTTTATTATTCATGAGCTTTCACTCGAGTGAGCGCTCGCGAGTCGTAAAATTGCTGATTGTGACTAACTGAAACCGAATTAGACTGGTTTTATGTGTCACACACTTGGCTTTCAACCTTTTCTTGTATCTAACATGCACAAAACATCATAATAACATCTAATGATTCCAAAATTCCAAACACTCTTATCAATCCAAATATTATGGATCAAATACATCACTAAACTTTGAATCTTTTATAACTGTATACTACTAAAGTTGTTCGAAACAGTTTAGATAAATCAAGCTAAATGCTTCAAATTGGCCATATGAGAACTCAAAAGAACATTCTTTTAGCGTAAAACTAGTTTATCTGAACTATTTTATTGTATTATGGTTACTTTAAGCGACCACTCCACATACAAATAAATGACATAACTTCCTCACGTAAAAACAATTCATTTATTTAATATCAATAATCCCAATAAAAAGTGTCACATACTAATTCCCAAATCTAGGCATAAGTGCACTTTGGCTTGGATTAACAAAAACAGCGGATACGTCCGCTATACTCAAAGTTCTCTTTCTCAAAATATACTACAATAACAATTAATCATGTTACCATGCTCCTGCGTTAATTTTACTTCAGATGTCACTGCTGTTCTTAACGGTGACATCTATCGGAAATGTATGGTACGTCTATATATGCAGTTATATTAACATCCGGAGTTTCTCCTTTCTTACATATTCGACGACAAAAATACTTACAAAACTCCGCCCCTGGATGGGAAATCAAATTGCATAAATAAGGGAACCAACATTTTTTCAGGGCTAGGTACTATATTTTGTAGTCTGTGAAAGGGAAATCACATATAGTGTGGCATCAATATACATGGCATGTTGAAAGCTTGAGCTCCTGAGAGAAAATTTTCGCTCTTGGATTTGAATTTGCTGGCTCTTTTGGGACTAATAATAAACCGGGTAAAATGTATGGGAAAATACTGTTTTTTTTTATTTAATTGTAGCTTGTTTAGCAATAATATCCGGGAAAAAACTGAACTACAAAGACCCTGACTTATTTCTTTATGTTGTCGTTCACTTTATCTGGCCGAAATATTCCCACTTCTCTTAATTTATATATGTGCGGATCCAGCGGAACAGCGCCATCTCTGTGGAAAATGGCCTGACGATATGATTCATAGACCTCTAAAACCAGCCTTCTTGAAAAAAGACTTGATGCAGATTTCAAAAAATTTCACGGTGTGGATTGAATTTTTTTTTATTAATTTTATCAATGATTCTACGGGGGAGGAAACTCATGGGCTACTGAATAGGCGTATTATATTAAGTTTTACAAAATATTTGATGAAAGTGGTTCAAATAGGTAGATTTAGACATTTCTTCCCCCACATTAAAAATCTAATTCATTTATAGTACTTGAAAACTGTAAGCATTTGAAAATTTCTATCCCATACCTTGCCATGCAATTTTTTTAGATTTTTTAGATCATCATCCTTTTTTTCAAGATGGTGGGTTTAGGCTGGACGCCCACTGATGTAGCGGAGGTATGGCATCTGCTAGCACACGCCACATGACTTCGACATGATGTATTGGTTTGTTGTATGATGACGCATCACAGCCACATCAATGAGCACCCGGTCTTAGAGGTCTATATAGTTCACTCTTTGATTTTCCATCATTCAGGAGACAGAAAATTCCTGTTAAACGCACCACCTAATTTCAGAAAAGGCGACCAACATGCATTTGATTACAGTTGAGGGGTGAGTGAATTGAAATCATTACACATGTTTAATTACATTAATTAGAATCAGACGAATAAGGTGTGCACATTGCTTTGGCCTGTAGATACCTACGGGAACACGAAAATAATTGTTTAAACAAGTTTTGATTTAAATCTCTATTTGCCTTCCATCCAATTCACCCTTAATTATAAACTTTACCCAGTCAGTATTGACACATCACAGAGGAAAATATTGTGATGGAGCACGGACGAGAGATTTACTAGAGTATTACAAAAAAAAATTAGGATTATATCAGAAAAATCAAAATTTGTTTAACGCCCACCAAGAGCTGCCATTAGTTTTTTCCCCAATATGCATTATTTGAAACTATCAGAAAATGCCAAATCCATATAAAATCATTAATTTTAAATAGATTTCATATTTTGCATAACACCCCATAAATCTCAATTAAGACCATATTTACAAAGATAAATGCATTTAGAGATTTGGAAAACCAAAACATCCCTCAAATCTCAACTAAGCCTATATTTACGGAGATAAATGCATTTAGAGAATTGTAAAACCCAAACACCTCTGAAATTATTTATCCAATTAATTAAATATTTTTTTCCGTAATTAAGATCATATTTACGGGGTTTATGCATTTAGAGATTTGTAAACTCAAACACCCCTCAAATCTTGATTAAGACCATATTTACGGAGATAAATGCATTTTAATATTTGGAAAACCCAAACATCCCTCAAATTTCCATTAGGGCTATATTTACGGAGATAAATGCATTTAAATTTAGAAAACCCAAACACCCTTCAAATCTCGATTAAGACCATATTTACGGAGATAAATGCATTTTAAGATTTGGAAAACCCAAACACTGGCTTTAGAAGTTGAGAGCCCCAAGCGTAAAAAGCATAGAAGCATTTTTGTTTTCAAGCACAGAAGGGGTATAGGGCCAGGTCTCCAATGAAAAATCAATGTTCATACTGCACCAGGGTAGAGATATAGATTTGACAGCACAGAATAATAGCCACAGGGGTTAAATACCGAGAGTGAGGAAAGTTGTGGAATATAGGGGATAGTCAAAGTAACAGTTATAATAGTTAAATGGTTGGAAAATAAAGAGATAGAGATGGAATATTTGCTACACCTATTGACCTATTGACCTACGGAATCTAGATTTAGTCACAAAGGTCACAAAGTTTCTTTTGTTATTTTTATCTGAAGCCTCATCATTTCTCCCTCCCACTACGCTAGTTAAGCTTATCGGCACAAATAATAATGCAGGGTATATTCTGACATAATCAAACCCAACCCAAGCTAATACCAGTGAGAAGCTACAATACAGGGTGCGTGACGAATTTTTGCAGTAAATGGCATATTTGAGAAAAAATACACCAGTTACTTATTCCAGCAATGAATTTTGTGCGATTTATTTTCTTTCGCAACATATGGAAGTTGTAAGTAAATTTATTCAAAAAAATTGCCTTCCCTTTCGACGACTGTAGTTAGACGCTTCCGGAAACTGCAGTATGCACGTTTTAAAATGTTTCGATCCATAGATGTCATCACTGCCTTGATTTTAGCTTTTAGCGACTTAAGTGTGGTGTGAGGGGTTCTATTGGTATCCCGTTGGACGACGCCCTATATAAAATAATCCAACGGATTGATATCGGGACTGCTTGGGGGCCAAATTTCTTCCTCTCAAATTTACGAAATATTTTCCGTAAGCCATTTCTGTGCTTTATTAGCAGTATGAGCAGGTCTTATCACTTTCCCAAGCCTTTTTTAATATTATACACTGTTCTTTCAGACACATTTACCGACCGAATTATTTCTTTCATGCATACTCCGGCGCGCAACAAAGCGACAACGGCTGACAGATTGCTCTCTTGTTTCGACATCTTTACGTTTACTCAACATTGTTTGTTTAAATCTTACACCTAACAGTATAAGCTATCCAGTGCTGCCAAATATATCTAAATCATGATGCAAAAGCATGAGAAATTACTATTTGAAATTTACTGCAAAAATTCGTCACGCACCCTGTATTCTCCTACCAAGACACATTGTATAAAATCCGAACTCCCACTACAAACAATCAACATGTGCCTGACCAGCTAAAACTTCTCTCTGCCTCCTTATGATGCTACTTTTCTAAAAAATTAATCTTGTCTCAGTTTTAACTAAAGTATATTTTGTTAAGGGTAAGTACTTCCAACATGACCACCGGACTCCATCCTAAAGCACTCTCTCATGGTAAATGGTATTCCCAAATGCCACAACCGAACACACAACAGGGCACACAGCCATAACAAAAGCATTCACCCATTTGAAGCAATACACAAATTATGTATAACTGCAATATAGGTATTTTTGGTTATTCATTCAATGATAGTTATTAAATGAAAAAAACATGAGGTACGTCACGTAATTGAAAAGTTCGAAGTCTGAATGTCGTTTTCCCTAAAATGTTTGGAATAGAGATAGACTATACATTATTTAACTAGTATCGTTCAGTTTAAGAGTGAATTGCGGCAAAACCCGCTGGTATCACACATGATGTCAGTGCCTATATATAAACGTACTAAGACGTGGCTAACAAATGAATGAATAGAATATGTTATACCATATTGCTTCGGGCCACTGGCTTGGTCTCCCATGCAGGCCTACAGCATGATATAGATATTAGGCTCTCCCACCTTCGGCAAGGTGCTCAAGAATGGCCTACGGGAGAGTTTAAAAGCCTAGAAGAATAAGTCATACTTAAATTTCAAATGCTGAGCTCCATTGCGGCTGTCATCCACAAGACAATATCGGCGGAAACCAAATTTGCAAGCAAGTGCTGGTTTGGAACTAGGCAGGACATCACAACAGAGCATCTCCAATAGAGTGATGCAAAAATTGAAATTTTTGCTCCCCAGTGCTTAAACGGTTCCAAATCGGGTCCTAATGAACCTTCTAAAATATGAACATATTTGGTAAGAAACTGACTGTGCGCAAACCATTTGATGTTTGTATGGGATTTACTATGGGAAAAGCATTTTTTTTTGTTTATGTCTTACAATTTACCAATTATCTACAACAACAAAATGATAGCTGTGCTTGAATTAAATTATCTCAGTTACAACTTTACTCAGGACCACTTTTCGATTAAATGTATGGAACAAAAGTAATTAATGGTTCAAGACGCTGATGTCTTATGATAATGCTAAATCAATTGCTCAGCAGGCCAAATTGGTGTTTCAGGTGCGTGAAATAGAACACACAAATCATGGCTACTATGTCACACTGCACAATAAAGTGTTGCTCAAAAAGCAGGTGCTTGATCATGTCTAAGATTACCAGTCTCTTTAATAATTAATAGCTATTTCATATGTCGTTTGACAATCTCTCAGATCAATATGAAAAAGGGTAGAAAGCAATGAACAAAAAGTTTACATTTCCTATAGTAATTCCCATACAAACTTCAAATGGTTTGAGTACAGTTAGTTTCTTACCAAACATGTTCATATTTTAGAAGGTTAATTAGGACCCAATTTGGAACCGCTTAAACATTGGGGAGCAAAAATTTAATTTTTTGCGCTAGTTTAATCCCCAATCATGAGCCGCAAGTCAACGGAAATTTGAAATGAACAAATAGTCGCCCAAGATGGGAATCTTTCACGTTAACCTTACGCACCACTGAGCACGGATACATGAGTAAGTGAATAATATAAATATTAAATACCCAAGTAAAAATGCAACAGCCTTTTAGCTTTCATCCTGTTTATTAATATTTAATAATTAATTGCACGTCAGTAAACAATATGTTTTGTTGAAATACAGCATTGAGTAGTGCAGAACATTCTTGATTAGTCATAACCCGAAAATAAGATGAACGGGGACAGGGAAGGGGGTGTTGTGGTGTGTTTTTCTTAAGTGTATTGTATTTCATTATTTCTGACGTGGCTCGCACCACACAGATTTTAGAAAATTTATTAAATACTTATACATGTCGTTGTATGGTATGGGATTCGAACCATGTACCTTCCGATCACCAGCCGCTTGCCTTGTCATCTGAGCTATCCTAGAATTCATCATATGGGCAACTCAATAATCAATAAAAGCTTGCTTGAAAGTAAATACCTATCAGCACTCCCGATCGCAACTCTAGCTCCTTGAAGGCCCTGTGGGAATGATTAATTCATTCATCGTTGTTTTGAATGAGAACAATGTTGCCTCTTCACATCTCCAAGTCGAAAGAAAGGATGCTCGGTTATATTTTAAACTAGATCAATGCATTCATTATCGTGAGTCATGTGATCGATGATTACTATTTAAATTAATTATTGTAAAAAAAAAAGGTTTGAGCTTGGGATTGAACTCATGACCTTCTAATTGGAAAGCGGAAACGGTAACCAATACTCTACTGATTTCTCCTTGTTGTAAGACTGAATCAGTGTTGTCGAATAATGAATCTAATACGTCGTTTATAAAGCATTTACAAATCATGTGATTACAACATGGACGTATAGTGGTATAAGAGCTATTATGCTGACTGTATTCACCTTTTTGTAAAGTAATGCAATGCAATCTTATAAAGGAGCTGGAGAACATTTATTAGACGTCTAATAAAGCATGTTATTAAATCAATTGAAAACAGTCGAATTAAAGTGTCAATGTATGTACAAATTACACTTATTCAGTTTGTTATTAGATCGAACTTCTGGCGTTGAATTGGGAAGACATTTAACACTTTTACAGCTTTTAATAAGTAAATTAATCAGATCAGAGCAAACAGTGGAATAAATGTGCATCTATGGATCTCAATGAGCTTTTTCAGCACATAATTCGACAACTCTTTTTATTCCGCATTGTACACTGTTATACAACATTTATTCAATATATTTGCTTATTTGTGACTTTGAATTGTTTGTTGGGTGGTATAAGAGCTATTTTGCTGAGTGTATTCACCTTTATACAGCAATATTGTAAAGCAATGCAATGAAATCTAATAATGGAGCTAGAAAACATTTATTAGACGTCTAATAAAGCATATTATTAAATCAATTGAAAACAGTCGAATTAAAGTCTCTATGTATGTGCAAATAACACTTATTCGGTTTGTTATTAGATCAAGCTTCTGGTTCTGAATAAGGAAGACAGTCAACGTTTATAAAGCTTTTAATAAGGAAATTAATCATTTCAGAGCAAACGGCGGAATAAAGACGCATCTATCGATCTCAATGACCTTTTTTCAGCACATAATTCGACATCCTGTTTTATTCAGCATTGTACACTATTATACAACATTTATTCAATGTGTATGCTTATTTGTGACTTTGAATTGTTTGTTGGGTAGCGACTGTATCTAAATACATACTCAAATGTGATCGTTGCAAACGATAAAACGCAGGATTTATGTAAAATAAATTAGATCTCCGTTTGCCTATTATCGTCAGAGGAGGAACATATAGTAGTTGCGCGTTCAAATTTGGCCAAACGATATTCTGAAACATGATGTATCGATTCAAAATATATGTTGAAGTATATCGAGATATATACATTAAACGTTTACTAACTGAACGGGAATTTTTTTAATTTTCAAAATTTCAGCTAATGGCAGATTAGCAAAAATTGATCAGCCAGTAACTTATTTTTTACCGTTGTGAAAGAAGGGCTGAAGAAAAATGCAATTTTTATAAAAATCAAAAAGTCCGTTTTAGTTGACGAACGTTTAGTGTGCTCCGGTAGTACTCCTCATCGTCAAGCAGACGGAGTAGGCTTTTCAATTTATTGTTTTGTTTTAGTGCATTAACTTTGTAATACCCTAGAGTGAAAACAATTATTATTTTCTTATTCACTTTTAGCCAACATTGCTATAACAATCCCTGTCCTATGAAGTATTTTCAAAAACATTCGCAGGTTATTCACACTCATAACACGTATTGCGATACGATTACACCAACACCATTGCAACGAGTCTATCCGCAGCAGCACAAAAACAAAACAGCTCACTGTGATAAGTAGGTACCAGCATAATTTTTACCTTATTTGAAATTGAGTCTTTCGTTGAGTCGTCACCAATCTGTTGCATTGCGAGTGAATAATTAAAAGCTGTTTTATTTGGGCAGATTTTATCGGCCCTTCATTAAAGCATATGCCAAGTTTTAGCACGTAATGCGTTATAGTGAGTTTTAGTTTGTTGTTAGCATAAAAAGCTTTCTATCAGTTTCACACGGAATGAAGTTGCAACTGTCGTCGTCGCCGCTTCGTCCAGAACGTCCGGACGCTAAAGTGGAACAAAAGGAGACAATGCAGAAGGTAGTTCTGTAGAGAGCGATGCTTGTTGAAAATTTAAGAAAAGAATGTTGATTTTTGAAACAATACCATCATTGCAGGTACAGGATGATGCCAGTGGGAACGATCAATTTCAATGGGTAGACAACGATGATCGAAGGTAGGTAGTTTGTGATGCGACTTCCACAGGGTGAGATCTATTCAAGGATTTGATCTTCCAGTTGGTCACTGTTCAGATGGTGCCGTCCATCATGTATTCCGATAACGATGATACTGATCCTGATAGTGATGGTGGTATTGCTGCCATTATTGGACCATAATGAGAAACAAACCGACCAACGAATCCGGGTGAATCCTCTGCGTAAGGATGTTTGCATGGAAGGTTGCAAGTAAGTTTTTTTTTCAATTATTTGTTAAAGTGAAGATTATAAGATTAAATTGTATTTGTTAGCATTCAAATAGTGGAAAGCATTCCGGAAGGATTGGTCTATCCTAAAGGTAGTCCTTCGTTCATGTCTACCTATGAGGCTTGGAAAAGTTTGATCGGCTTGGCGAAGAATTCCATCGAAATAGGATCGTTCTATTGGACGTTGAAGCGTGAAGACGTGTACAATCACTCTAGTGCCTGGCAAGGAGAGGATATCTTCAAACTTCTACTCGAAACAGGGTTGGCCGGTAACGTTTCAATCAAAATAGCTCAGAGCGCACCGACGGCAGCCAATCCGTGTGTCGATACGGAGATTCTTGCCAACCGAAACGCCGCAAAAGTTCGATCCGTGGATTTTCCTCGACTGTTCGGAGGAGGAGTATTGCATACGAAACTGTGGGTAATCGACAGAACGCATTTCTACGTGGGTAGCGCGAACATGGATTGGCGATCGCTGACTCAGGTCAAGGAACTAGGAGTTCTGGCTACCAATTGCTCGTGTTTATCGAAAGATATTGCTAAGATATTCGACGTATGTTGGGATAGTGTTTATAAGTTGGAGAATATAATAATGCAATATTGTTGTTACAGGTGTACTGGGACATGGGTCTTCCTGATGCACAAATTCCAACTCAGTGGCCCGAAGCTTACGCAACGAAGTACAATGCCAACAATACGATTTCCGTGCAATTCAATGATCAATTCAAAGTGGATACCTACATATCTGTACGCGTTAAAATTGTGCTTTTCGGAGGTTCGTGATTGTAATCTTAAGTAATTTTAGAGTTCTCCGCCCCCCATGTCGACCAGCGGACGCAGTCACGATGTAGACGCCATTCTGGACGTTATTCAAAGAGCCGAAAAGTTTATCCACATATCAGTAATGGACTACATCCCGCTAACTCTGTACACGGCTAAACCGCAGTAAGTAATCATTAAATAAAATCATTTTTCCTTTGTAAAACATAAAATTGCAAATTCTTTTAGCTACTGGCCTATCATCGAAGACGCACTCCGTAGGGCCGCGATCGATCGGAAGGTTTCCGTCCGATTGCTCATTTCCTATTGGAAGCATTCGCGTGATTCGGAAACCCATTTCCTCAACTCAATTCAAGCGTTGTCTCAGTGCATGAAAGGAGTGGAAATCGATGTTAAGAGATTCGTGGTTCCGGCCAGCGAAGATCAACAAAAGATTCCCTTCGGACGGGTGAATCACAACAAATACATGGTTACGGATAACACTGCCTACATTGGGACGTCCAACTGGTCCGGTGACTATTTCATCGACACGGCAGGAATAGGTTTGGTCATGTCTTCGTTCGCGCCGAACGCCACCATCGTCGGTGATTTGCAGGCCATTTTCGAACGAGATTGGAATAGTAAATACGCTGTTAGATTCGATTAGTGCTTTACAGTTTATTGAAGTTTTTTCACAATCATTTTTCTTGAATAAAAATCCAATATTGTCTTAACTTTTTGAAAAAGTCGCCTCATGACTTCTTTCGTGAGTTTTCAAATGAACTAACAATGGTTTCAGTTCGATGAATCCCTTTGGACAAATGTTGCACTTGAAACTGTGAATTCCTTCGTGTTTATCGCGGACATGTCGCCGAAGAGCCCGCTGATGGACGTACGATGCAGGGCAGCGATCGCATTTGAATGACTTTAGACCGGAATGTTCCAGCACGTGAGAGTTCAGTCGGTTCTTCTGAGTGAACGTAAGTGGACACATTGGACACTTGTGTGGTCTATCGGTGGAATGAATACGCAGATGTGCCTTCATCAATCCTTTCTTTCGGAAACCCTTTCCACAATACTCACAATGGTAGATTTCCTGAGCGTCGTGGTATTTTACATGAGCTTGCCAAGAAGCCTTCATTGAGAATTTGGCGTGGCAAATAGGACATTCGTATCTCCGAACGTTGCGATGAGAGTCTTCATGCCCTTCTAGCTGAGCTTTTTCACGGAAACTACGACCGCACTGCGCACATATTAGGTTCTTCTTCTTGAAGAATCGCAACCTATGATCCTTAAGATACTTGATAGACTTATAAGTTTTGTAGCAAACATCACACTCAACGGTGTTTTCACCATCCGGAGCCTCGCGCTGTGGTAGGTGAACTTTTATGGCATGCTCCTTCAACTCCTCCTGGGAGTTGAACTTCGTCCGACAGCCGCAACAAATGTTACTTTTAATACGCATTTCCTCAAGCTCGCGAAGTTTCAACTTTCGTTTATGATTGAGCTGTATGTGTTTCTGAAGAACGTAAAAATTGGCAAATTCCTCATCACACTGCTTGCAGGGATGCAACATATCAACGTACATTTTCCGTTGATGCTGAAGAAATAGCTTCTTTACATTGAATCTTACAAAACAAACCGGACACTCAAATAAATTATCGCCGTAATCTTTCGGATTTGTCACGCGCATCTTGAGATGATATTTATCGGAATGCTCTTCAACCTTGTCATGAGAATCGAGTGGAAAATTCTTACACGAACAGCACCTTTTCGGCTCAGAGTTCAGCTTCACACCGTAGTATGAGCGTTTCCTGGCTGCCTGTTCATCGGATTCATCATGCGAGTCGGCATCAGGTTCGAAGTCAGTATCATCCGAATCGCCCGAAGAAGCCGAAAGAGCATCATCCGAACGAGTTGAGTAGGTACTGAAACGTCTAGCTTTACTGGAAATATCTAGATCTTTTATCAGTTTCTCGACAGGTTGTTCTTCTTTAGCAATCTCAACAGATTCCTGATTATCATCGGGTATTTCAATAGCATGTGCGACACTTAGCTTTCTTGGACGTCCACGTTTTTTGGGAGGTGTTTTTGGTGGAGATTCCGGCGGATCACCAAGCCCATCTTCAACTTTATCAAAACCTTCGTCATTTATTTCCGACTTGATTTCACCTTCGGCGATGAAAACAGAAGATATGTTATTTTCGCTTGGTTCTCTAAAATGTCGTAAATTCAATCATTTTAATCTGTTTGATCATTCAGTCTAGTGAACTTACACAATTTCAACTTTCGGTATGTTTAGTATCGATTTAAGTTTGATATCCGATTCCCGAATCTTAGTAACTAGCCTTAGTGCAACTATCAGATCATTTTTACAATCTACACAATGCAAACTGGACATTTCCTCTTCCGATATCTGCAAAACAAACATCGATACAGTAGCATTGATTCATGTACAAGCGTTTTGAACTGAAGCATACCGATAAGCCAAAGCAATCTTCTATCACTTGAGCAGTCGTCCTGCTGCCATCAAACGATGGATCCGAAAGGCGAAACATTTCGAACGATTCAGTTTTACAACAAATACGGCAAGCATCTTCCTTGGTCATGTTGAATTCAATTTGTTTCTTTCATTTGAAAATAAACCGACTTAAAACTAGTCTGATAAGTACATAAACAAATGGGTGACATTTCCACCAATAACACTGAGGGATTATCCAGTCAATGCCATTGGTGAACCCCTCGAACAAATTTTGTTCCTGATTCGAAAACGTAAACAAACCGGAGCAATGGGATCATTTTCAATTTAAATTTTTCATTCAGAAAAAAATGGGCCACAACCAGGAAGAATCAAGCTGTCGAATATGTCTAACTGCCGACGAGGAAACGCTCCAAATGTGGCCACTGTTTGAGGTATCCATAGAACGGAAGACACCAGCCGCGATCATTCATTACTGCTTTGGAATAGAGGTAGGTGGTGTTGGTCAATTAAATCAGGTACACAATCGAGAAAGTTCCACTTGTACAGGTTTCAGAAAATGAACAAACCAATGAGATTTGTGAAAACTGCAAAAGCGATCTCGAAGCAGCTCATCGATTCTTGAATCACTTGCGGCCAGCTGATGAGAAGCTTGAAACCCTAACACCAAAGATTGAGATGGGGTACGTATCTACGAAGTGCACATTTTGGTTCAATAAATTTCGATAGCTAGACAAATTATATTTACGTGGAATTTGTTGAAGTTTAGTGCATTTTCTTGGAATCTATTGTAATCTATAGAATGAAGCAGATTCTGCCAAAAAAAAGCACATCGAAAATATCGAATCATAATCATATCATTTTTATTCTTCCAGTATTTTCCACGACACTGAAGTATATATTACTGAAGTCGAAATCAAAACAGAAGCTTTTGATGAACAGAACGATGCACAAAGCGATGAGCAGAGCGAAAACGAAGAACACACCATCACTGAACTAATTTACCCGAAAAGGCCAAGAAAGTCCTCGAATGAAGATGTCTCCCCACCCAAGGAAGAACCAAAACCAAAAATCAGAAAAATTCCCCTTAAAACTGTTCCCATTACAACGGAGTCCCCTTACTCATCGGAAGACGATCACATTGACGAGAGTGACTACGAACAAAATATGAGCTCATATGATGATGACGATGAAGACGACCGAGGAAAACCGGCACCCAAACGACTCTACTATGGAGTCAAATCCAACTCTCAACCGAAACGTTGCTGTTCATGCAAGGAACCGCTAGACTCACATGAAAAAGCGCAAAAACATTCCGAAACGTACCATTTGACCTCTCGGATCACCAATCCCAAGGAGTTTGGCGAGAAAGTCTTCGAATGTCCTGTTTGCTACAAACGTTTCGACACCAAAATGTTGTTCCTCCAACATCAACGAAAAATGTACGTCGATGTGCTGCATCCCTGCCCGAGATGCGAAGAAGAATTTGCCAATCTATTCGTACTGAAGAAGCACATCAAATTCGATCACAAGAAAAAGTTCATCGTTACCCAGCTGGAAGAGATGCGCAGTAAGGCGAACATTTGCTGTGGCTGCAAAGAGAGATTCCTAACAACGGAGGCCCTCAAAGAGCACGTCGAAAGAACGCACTATCGTGAACGGGTGCTCAGTGAAACCTCCAATACATTCGAATGCGATGTCTGCTATCATCGATTCAAAACGTACAAATCGCTGAAACACCACCAACTGAGGTTTTTCAAAGAAAAAAAGTTCGTCTGTACTCTATGTGGGAAATTTTTCCGCGAAAAGGTTCGCCTGGCGGAACATGAGAATTTGCATCGGAAAATTGCAACCTTCCAGTGTGCTTACTGTCCTGCAAAATTTGCAATCAAAAATTCCTACGAAGTTCACGTGAAAATGCATGACGCCGAAGAGCGCTATAATTGCGAATATTGCGGCAAAGGCTTTCGGAAGAAAAGTCTTCTGATGGGTCACCTGCAGATACACGATACGGATCGACCGTTCAAGTGTCATCTCTGTCCGATCACCTTTACCAGGCAGAACCTGCTGGATGCACATCTGTTGGCACACAGCGGTTCGAAACCGCACAAATGCAAACAATGTGCGGCGTCCTACATCCATCAGCGAGACTTAAGAAGACACATCCGGGAGAAGCACGAAGGCATTCGGAGCTTCAAGTGTCATCTCTGTCCGAAGGCTTACATCAGGCAAAAGTTGCTGGATACTCATTTGAAAACTCACGACGACTGATGGAGATGTGGTTTTTAGACTAACTTAGTGATGACTTCATAATAATAAAACCGTTTATTGTATGATACCAACGTGCTTGCTTTTTACGAGATTATTTTTCCCGTAAATTCTAGTGGCCGTTGTAAATTTGAATGGTTGTTATTCCGAAATGTATGAAAATAATAACTCAAATTCCCAAAATTGTTGATGTTTTGCACAGTTCAGTAAACATGTCATGTTCATGGACATACTAATTTTGTGGCTGCGTTACTCTATGAGTCAAAATGTAAACATTGGTTTCAAACATACACAAAGCTAGATGAATTCTTGCATCGCTTTTCAAAGAGACCTTTCGTTAATAACTCGGCACCAAGAACATGTTCAGGTTTTCTAATCGTCCAATACTCTTAATATTACTTTCTTTTAACAGACTATGTAGAAAAACTAGCCCGAAATATGAATGTAGCCAAGTTATTAACGAAAGAACGAGTCAATGAAGAGAATCGATCAGATTGGTCTATTTGAAAAGTGACGCGACAATTCTTCAAAAAGTCCTATCTGCTTTGATCGATTCTCTTCATCGACTTTTTCTTATAATAACCACGGCTATGCAAACACATTCTGTGCTATTTTCAGGGCTGGTAGCGATCAATTCTGTCAAAAATAGTGATTTTAGTGACCCTGTTGAAGTAATAAGTGACCAAATAGTGACTTATAGTTGTAAAAAAGTGACTTAAAAGTGACTTTAGAGAAGAAAATTAGTCGTTCTGATGGCATACCAAATAAATGATTGATATTTTAGACTTATTCAATTCGAATCTCATAAACACTTAAATATGTACGGAAACTTTAAAAGGAAAGATTCAATAGAATGTTTATGACTAAACATCCAAGTACACTGGAGTCGCTTTTTACGCGGGTGATACGGAATTCGCGTAAAAAAAAATCACGTAAATTCCGAAATCCGCGTAAAAAAAAACGCGTAAAAAAAGACCGTGTAAAAAAACCGCATAAAAAGCGACTCTAGTGTATAATGATAAACCGCGTAAATTCTGATAACCGCGTAAAAAAAAACCAAAATCCGCGTAAAAAAAAACACGTAAACAAACCGTGTAAAAAAAAACCGCGTAAAAAGCGACTCCAGTGTATCTACTACCTGGAAAAACCTAAAAAAACCTGGAATTCTGATGGAATTTAATTTTTCCTGAAAATACCTTTAAGTCTCAGGGAATCTTATCATTACTAAGGAAATTTAATAATTTTCTTACTAAGGATATTCCAAAGAAAATAATGCATTTTGAAATAAAAACATTTAATATTCCTACTTATTTTTATTCACACATTTAACTTTATACATTTTAAAAATTCAGAGGCTTGATTTTTTTTTAATCTAGAATAGGCATATATATTAAAAATTCTGAACTAAAAAGTAATAATACTTCAAGAAATTTTCAAAAATCTTGAGTCAAATTCGTTGCAAAGTTTTAAGGCTCATGGAATTTTATTATAATTTTCAAGGACCTCATTCCACGGGAGTTCTGAAAAAAATCTATGTGAACATCAAGTGCAATCTGCTTTCATGGTAGTTCTGAGAAATTTTAGATTTCATGCGCAGCCTGAGATAGTTTTGAATAGAATTTCAAGGAAAACTCATATAAATTTCTCCTCCTGTGACCTTCAGAGGAAAACTCCAAGGGCATTCTGAGGATAATTTCATGAAGTTTTTAAATGACAACGAAATCGGAGCATATATCCCAAGTAACATTTGCAGTTTTATGAAATACTATAAAGCAACTATAAAACAACGTTCACAAAACTCTGGTCAAGGCTATTTTGTCATTAATGCATCCACCAAAACCTCATTAAGGCTAGAATATGTCTAGTTGGCCCACCCTGGAGAAGGTTCAGAAGGGTGTATTCTCGAAGCTCTTCAAGATTGATTTACTGCAAAAGGTTGTATGACGAACGCATTGAGAACAATTTGAAAGCTACATCAAAAGCTATATAGCAACAATAAAAACCCTTTCCGAGCCATTTCTCCCAGCCGCTTGCTAAATCCACTAGGAAAGCATTGATCAAGATAGAGAAGGATTTATGAATCCGATATTATCAAAATAATTAAAATAGAAACCGATGATATAAAAATCTTGTTGAATATTCAAATTTATTACAATAGTTCTCATTGGGTGGCCTACTTTTAAGTGCCTAATTAAATTTTATGTGAAATGTACGTGAAAATATCGAAAAAAATACGTCCACCCTCGTAAAACGTTGACTATTTATTATACATTGAAAAAAAAAAAATATTCTTCAGATCGAGGTAGGCCGAGATTTTTTTTATGATTTTCGCATTTAAATGTTTGCTCATTGCTAAATTTACCAAAAATATAGTTATATCCAAGAAACTATGTATCGAAAATCGAAGATTGTAAAAAACAAGCAAACTAATTGTAACATGGCGGTGGCATAAAAGTTGATTTTCATGGGTTATTTGTGAAAAAGTTGTTTTGCTTTCAAGAAATCCTTAACAATTTCATAAAGTTTTAAAATGGCATTTATTACTTGCAGCCGGAATTGTATTTATCTAAAGCAATTTTGCTTGATCCTAACCCGTTCAGATTTATGGCAGCATTTATGGAGGTAAAGTTGCCTGCAAAAAGTTAAACGTCAAAGTTTGTTTATCTTTCGATATTTAGTTGCGCTGTGCGATCCAGGGTTCTTCTAGGCAGTTTTCTCCCGATGGATTGGGAGCAGTTACTCAAATAGTTTGCGATACAGTTTTGCAACATTTTGCATTTCGAACCGAAAAAGATCCCCTTCTTCCGGATGGTTACAGAAGTGCACCATCCAACGAGGCAGGGATGTACGGTTGAATGAAATTTTCGAAGAGTTGATTCTTTCGCCGAATAAAATCTCTGCTATGGATCGGAAACCAGCTAATCTCCGCTAACTAATAGTTTCAGTGGTTTGCTGTCAGTTGTTGTTATTTCGATTGTCATTTATTCGCAAGATCTGAAGAAGGCAGGTATGTTTTTCAACTTTGGACAATGTTTTATGAATTCGAGGGCCCGCTCACTTTACTTTTCTCCGCCAGATGGTCAGTCGTTGATGATGTGCTGGTTCTTCTAAAGAAGTAAATTTTGCTGAAAACGACTTGAATTTTTCATCCTACTTCGTCTATCCTTCGAGATTCCCTTGTCTTAAATTTGACTTTTATTAACTATGAGGAACCATCTTTTAAGCTCAATTTGTAAACAGAGTAATTGGGGACTTTATGATGCACTCAAGATGCACTTTAAAAAGCCTGAAAAGCAACAATAAATGCCTTTTGCTCTAATACAAAACCTAATGGTTTTATGGTTGCTTTTATAATGATAGAACACGTTTATAAAGTATTTTATCAAGACATTAATAACAATTGCTAATGACATTTATGCTTGAATTACAGAGCAGTTTTAAGGAGGGATTGAGAACTGTTTTAAATTTATTTTTAAAACAAGACAGTTTTTGACTTTCTTGCCAAACTATAAAAGGTTTTTAAAACAGCAAAAAGCTGAATTACTAAGCAGGAATGTTTTACACTTTGAAATGCTGTATTTATACTAAATGGTGTGTTCATTGCCGTTATAAAACCATCATAAATCAGAGTGGATGCCAAATGGTTACTGAATTGTTACTAGGAATAAGTCATCGTAATTTGTTGGTGAATACTTAGGGGGTGAATGGGGATGCTGAAAGGAGGATTACAATTAATTCTGAGAATAACTCCAGGATTTCAAATAAATTTGGAAAATAATTCCAGGAGCGATTACCAAACAAATTGAGGGGAAACATCTAAGGAATTTGTGAGGAGAAATGAAAATGAATTCTTAGGAGACTTTCAATGTCAGTAGAATTCCAAGGGAAGGAGTGGATTCAACAGGAAATCTGAAATGAATTCAATGAAAATTCAGAGAATTTTTCCATTACATTTCTTACTGAGGAGAATTTCATGGCAATTCTTAGGAAAACTAAAAGAAAATTCGAGGAATATTTCAATGGAATTGCGATAATTATTTAAACTAAATTCTTGTGAAAAATTTCCTAAGAATTAAAGAATTCAGTGAAGCGTTCCAAGTTAATTACTGAAATAATTTCATTAGAGTTTCGGGAGAATACGAGCGAGTGCTGAGGAGAACTCCAAGCCAATTTTCATGTGAAATCTCCGTTGAATATGGAATGGACTATTCTGAGGTCTTCAGAACTACTTGAAAGTTCCCAAAATATTCCTGAAGTTAATGAAACTGAAAGTTCATTTGTAATTTGAGAAGCTAGCCTGATGCTCGCAATACTTCTCATCAATTTTTTAACTTCTCTAAACTTTTTCGGACTTCCTTAAGAGGGTAGTCCACACTGGAAATTTCAAAAAATCTTTTTTTTTTGGCTTAAAAAGTACTTTGGAATGTCTACTTTGACATAGACTTGACCGCAAGTCCGCAAGTGACATCGTTCCAAAGTTATAGGCCGACTAGTGGACTCGTGTCCAGACGCTCCAAGCGCGCTCAGGTGAGCGCTCGGAGTACCCGCCCGTTACCGGCGAAACGGCGTGTCTTAGTAGTTCCAACTGCTGCCGCGATTATCTCTAAACGATGTTTTCCAAATTGGCGGGCGCTGTATTTTAGAAACGGCTCATTCGATTTAAACGGCGATTGAATTTTCGAGTTAAGTACCTTTTTTTCTATTCTTGTACGTACCTGATTTTCAAAAGAATCAAAAATGGATTTTTGGTGCAAGCTTTTATCTCCAATTTTAGGGTACAAAAACGGACTGTTTTTTCGCCAAATTTTTATTTTTCAACCAAATCAAAAACGGCTACGTACAAGACTGGGTCATCTATCAGAGAATAACCACAAAAAAATTCATTGTTCCAGCTCCAGTGGTGTGACCGCCAGACGTCCCGCCCCGCGACGACTCAGACGGAAGGTATCCTGAGGAACCTGGTGCAGCGGCTACAGGAGACATCCAATCGCGCCAAAAAAAATCTCAATTAAAGAG